AGAGAGAGAGAGAGAGAGAGAGAGAGAGAGAGAGAGAGAGAGAGAGAGGAAAAAAATCACATTATTCAGTTGCCCATAAGTATTTGATGAGGACATGATCTCCTTTTATCTGCTTTGTCTTCACAGGAAGCACACAAACAATAAAAGTTACATAGAATAGGACATGCAAAGTGGTGGTTTTTAGATGGGATTTTAAAAGGTTTACACTAAATGTGATGCAGTAAGTATAGGGATACATGGATATGCCAATCTACTTTGTTAAATATTTCAGACAGAAGCTTCATTCTGTTATTTTTTTTAAATTTTAATGTATTTGGTACAGAGTCTTACTACACAGCTTGAACTCAAAATGACGCCCCTATTTCCAGCCTCCCCAGCACTGGGATTACAGGTTTGTGCCACCACACCCAGATTTGGGGCCGGATCAGTGCACCTGGGCATGGGGCCAGTGTGACATGTGGTACTGGGTATTGAACCCTGGTCCCTGTGCTTACCTAAGTAGGTGCTTAGTTCACTGAGCTATCTCACTGTTCATTTAGAAGGCTCACTCTCAATAGCTAAATTCTTTGAGTCAATTCACCTTTATGATCACACATTTACTTTAGATAATAAATTTCCATAGCGTTATGTTGAGTATGAAATAATGCTGAACTTTCCCATCCTTATGCATTCTTATTTCTCTAGCATTAGTATTCTTTTCAGTTAGTATTATTTTTTATTTTAAAGAGAGGAAAGAAAATAAAAGAGATACAGAGTTTCAAAACAAGATGAAAGAAATGAACAGTTGTTACATAATGCATATTATTACCTTCCAGATCCAATCATGCAAAAGGAATCAAGCAATATGAGCAATAACTTCATTTCAATGAACTACTAGACGCGAGGAGTACAATTATCTTAGCTATCTTGTGTATGCATATAGATATATTCTCCCCCTTCCTTCTTTTCTCTTTTCCCCAGTTGTTCTTTTGAACAGCTTCTTTCTTTTTCATTGTATCTATTGTGCCTCTTAGATCTTATTTACTCTTTCAGGTTCTTAACTAGGGAGACAATATGATGTTTACACATGCGAGTCTGATTTATCTCAATCACGAGTATGGTCTCTAGTTGTATCCATTTACTTATAAAAGCCTCAAGTCAGAATTAGTATTGTGACTCCCAATCTGAATGCCTGTCTATTGAGCATACAACATTTGCAAGAATATTTCATGAATTTTATAGAAATAAAATCAGAGGGGCCAGGGAGATAGCTCAGTAGAATAAGCATTTGCCTAGCAAGCGCA